TTTGAAAATTTTCGGGTTTAGGTCAACTTGTTTATTAGACGGGTTGGGTTCATGTTTCATTTTCTGACCTGTTTTAAAAATCGGGTCGAGCTCGGGTTGACCCGAAAACTCAAAATCAACCTGAAATGACTCGCTAGCACCTCCCACCCACGTTCGGCCTACACCTCTCGCTCGAACTGCATCCCGCCTGCTCTCGTTAGCATCACATGAACATGCTTTGTCAGTCCGCATTGCGTCTCGGGCGCTCCCGCCCGCATCACATCAGTATGCCTGCATTGCATCTCGTCCTACCAAGCCGCCCTCCAGCCCGCACGTGTCCAGCTCTAGCCCGCAGTGCATGACAACCCTCCCGTCCACACGTATCCCGCTTCAACCTACTCACGCTCAACCGCACCTGCACTCGCACTTAACAATGCTCTACATTGCCTACTTGTGCCCGGGTCCACGTGCCAGGTAAGGTCTACCCAAATTTAATGCGGGTCAAATCTGGATTCAAGTTTTTGACCCATTGATATAATCAGGTCAGGTTCGAGTTAGAGCAATCAAAGTCAAGTTAATTTGAGATTGGACCAGAATCTGACCCGAAAATTCATTTTCACACCCGCATTATGCACGTTGCATTTCACTCATCTAATCATATGTGTAATTTTCGTTCAAAGTAAAACCACAAATTCTCTCTTCATCATCATAAATATCCTAGCACATATTCAAATCCACTCAAAATTCAAACAAGTTTTAGATTTCTAGCAAAACTACCAGCCTTACTCATGGACATAAATTCAACTCTTTTAAAATGTTTAAGTACTAAACAATTCAAGTTGGCCAATCTTCACTTTCACCTTAACAAGAATTATCCCAACCTAAGATGTCTGCTTAAATTCTTAAAAGGTACTTTTCAATTCTTTGGCGTGCACTTAGCTCCATCTAATGGCTGATTAAGAGCATCAAAGACGTGATTAGTCCAAAAGCACTTAACTTTTTGTTTATTTAAGCACCTAACCTCTTACTTTAACCCCCAAAATAATAAAATATTTAGTATAGTTATCAATACATATACTCCAAAACGATAAGCTGTCCCTTTCTCAAATCCACCCGCTAATGCCTTCGGTCTTGTATCATTAGCACGTGTTTTATATTCTTTTTAATTATTTTGCGAAAGATAAACCATTTTGCTTTATTCCGATTAAAATAGCACAACATAATTCACAACAAAAAAGCAAGAACATAATTAACAACAAAAAATGAAAGGAAAAAATTAAGTAAGAATATCACGATGTTATGTACGTCGGGATGGGCTTAAATGCTCGTGAATTTTGCTGAGATTAATTAGGGGTGTCAAACGGTTAATGGGTCGAGTACGGGTCCAACTTGGTTTGACCTAGATCCAAATAGGTCAACCCAAATCATACCCGGTTTTGCAAATTGGTCCAAAATTCCAACCTAGCCTAACCCAGGTCCAAACGGGTTGACCAACCCAACCTATGAAGGTTTAATCCTCAGACTCGTCTCCGTCCCCGCGTACATATTTTAGTGTCGCAGGCAGAGCAGAGGGCCTTCAGGCTTCACGGCAGACGCAAATGGAGACGATGGCGACATATGTGGATGCGGACGCACTTCACTCAAGTCACTCATGACACTCACAACAAACGCAAACGCTTCGACAGCAATTGATAGTCACAGCACCATTGCACCAAATGACAGTCGACATTCACCACAAATGCGAAGTCACAGGCGCGTCGATGCCATACAGGACACCGAACTTTGGACGCGTGATGGTACGGGACTTTGGTCCTAGATCGGAACCGAACTTGAGCGCTGATCAGTGGCTGACGGGTCAACCAATATTGATTTCGGGTTTTCAGGCCAACCCAAACAGGACCCAATTTTAGAAACGGGTCGAAAAATCGAACTCAAACCCAACCCGTATGGTAAACAAGTTGACCCAAATCCGGATTTTACTGGGTCGGATTCTGATCGGGTTTCAGATTGGGTCAAATTTGGACACCCCCAAGATTAGTACTTGTATATGCTATCATATATAAGCAAAAAATTCATTGGCGTTTAAGCCCATCTTAACATGAACAGTAATATATTTTTAATTAAGTTTTATAAATATTTAATATTATCAAATAGTATAAATTATGTCCATTTTAATTAAAACTCAAATTTATGTATGTCTATTAATAAGTATATATATTTAAAAAAAATGACCATCAAATATATAACTTGTACTTCGACTCGATTCAATCTCAATTAGGATTTGTACTCAATAAGACTACAAAGAAATAAGATTAAAAAAATTTACATACATACCACTATATAACACTCATATTACATATTTAACACCTCAAACTTAAATATTTCATTTTTACCACTCAAACACAAATATAAAATCAAAAATATCACTCCGTGTATTTGGATATCACGGCGTTATTCCTTCCCTCGCAGCGTGCGTATCTTCCCGCCCTCTTCCTGGACCTAGCGTGACTTTCCCACCTCCTTCTGCAATAGCTTCCTATGGTGCTTTCTGGCGACAGATTTCCTGCCTCCTGTGACCAATTTCCGCTCCTAGTCATATTATTTCAGTTCGAAATTGAAGAATGGAATGTGATAATGAAGAAGGAAATGATTTATATGGTGATAAGGAAGAGAATATTTTTGTTTTACTTCTCTGTCGGGTTAAAAGAACCATAAAACAACAAATTTATTAAGTGCAGCTTCGCAAGCTTTCAACGCAAAAAGGAAAAAAAAAAAAAACAATATATGGAATCAGCCCACTGAGCTAGCTGAAACAGAATTAATTAAGACAAGAAGCATCCAGATCTTGACGACATTCAATTAGAGACATTAAAACATGCACTAAGAAGCGGATTTTACCGGGATTTCACTGTTGTTTTGTTGAAGAAACCCTAAACCGGTGGAGAAAATGGCAAGCAAAGGAAGGAGTTCGCTGGGAAGAGGAATCCAGTTGCAGCAGTTGCGTTGGGGGTTGATGCAGCTTTTGCCAGAAACAGACGGAGTGAGTTTTGTGCCTACGGAGTGGTATTTTTTATTTTATATTTGTATTTGAGTGATAAAAATGAAATATTTAAGTTTGAGGTGTTAAATATGTAATATGAGTGTTATATAGTGGTATGTATGTAAACTCGAATCATGTTCAAATTCAAAGTGAATTTCATTAAAAAAAAAAAACTTAAATAATATAATACTCTATCCGATCCGATTTGACTCGACTCAACCCTAAGAAATGCACCTAATCTTGCCCAAACCTATCTCAATTAGGGTGAGAGTTTTTATTTGGATCCTTAAAAGCATTAGTTCATTTCAAACGAAGGTTCTAATAATGATAACACGTTTGCTCTTCCATACTATCCTTCAAAACTTCTTTTATGTTATTATAGAAATAATCTGCACATTACTCTTAGTTATTTTAATAGCAAAGAACTTGCAGGTTTTGTAGATTTCTTGTGCTGGTGATGCAATGATCTGGATTTATATATTTAATCACACGGTGCTGTTCCTTTGAAAATTCTAAGTCAAATCATGCTATATGTGATGGATTATAATTTTATTTGGAATAGCTTTTCTGCTGTTTTCTAAAATAATTTTTTAACGCAATAATTTCTAATTCAAAACTTTTTTTTTGCTAGTAAGATTTTAAGAAAGCAATGAAAAAATTGTAACAAATGAAGCCTATGTTTATATGCTGCAGATTAGAGCCGGCATAGAGAAGGTTCTTCTTTTAATAGATCAAGATAATTTCATTTTAAATTTTATTTTAAATATATTATTAATAATATGAAATATCATGCATGAGAAGGCTATTTAAAGTTTTAAAGAAAAACATTTAAATCATATATTTTATCAAATGAGTGTAAAAATGTTATATTTAACCAATATACTAGAAAATATAAGAGATTTCATCATTAAAAAAAAGTATAGTCAATAAGAGAATAAAAAGCTGTTTATTTCATAAGATAAAAAATTATGCAAATTGGAGAGCTTTTGGATCAAATTATTATTATCAAAATTTGTATAAATTTTATAATAATAATAATAATAATAAAATTATTTTCTTCACAATCACTTCACAATCACCATCCCAAAGAGGAATTTTAATTAGATCCAGACACCTGCCGTAGCTCTACATCTGAACCCCAATAAATTATTGCCATGTGCTCTTATTCTTTACCGCGCAGCCCAACGACCCGACCTGACCCGGATCGGAACCCGGTATTGCTATGTTCATGTATTTCTAGGTATTGTTCGGTATTACTAGGTATTTCCGTATTGCTAGGTATTGCTTGACAATAACAAGAAATACAGCTCTGTCAAGACCAATACCGAGCAATAGCTAGCAAAACCGAGGTATTGCTAGGTATTAGTCTTGACAAAATGATATTTCTCGTTACCGAACAATACCGAGGAATACCCTGGTCTGCACAAATCAGCTAATACATCGCAATACCGGGTTCCGGTCCGGATTTGGTCGTCGTGCCGCGCGGTAAAGAATAAGAGCACGCGGTAATATTTTATTAACGTCCGGATGTAGAGCTACATCAGGTGTCCAAACCTAATAAAAATTCCCCAAAGAGACCCTTAAAGATTCATTACATTTACAGTTTTGTTAAACTATATAAAAAAATATATTTAATTTTTATATGTTTTGATCACAATTACAAATTTAAGAGTAATTCTTCTTAAATTTGTATGCGTTGTGTGTGTGAATTTGCCTTAAATGACCTAAATGCAAAAAAAAGAGTAATTCTTTTAATAATTTTTTTAAATCGACGTCAGCATGTCGCATCACGTTGTGGAAGAAAGATGATAACAGATGTGACATTGACCAAAGCACTCAAAGCAGCAACTTGTTCAATAATAAATTTGTTATTTTTAGGTATTTTTTGGTGGATCCAAAATTCTTTTTGATTGCACAAATCTGTCTTTGGCATCCCAACCTTTTTTGCATATTTGGGTTGCTAAATGCATAAAAATTATTACATGAGTAGTATACATATAATTTTACATCCGGATTATAAAAATACACAATGTATTTACACTATATATAAAAATGCACAATATATTTTTATACATAATATATTTTTTATAGAGTGTGTACATACTGTGTACACTCACATGTCCAAACATAACTCTATATCCAAACTCCGCACGTAATAATTTCTCATTAATGTGAGCTGCATTAAGAATATCCGCGACACTAAAAACATGATCTTTTTTTTTCTTCCTTCCATATCGATGTTCTCCTTAACAGATTAGGGGATTCGAGCTTGACCAACATGCCGCAATACGATCTCAAAATATTAGAAATTAACTTTGACCTCAAATAGAAGGGAAATGAAACCTTACTACCATTTCTTTGAGACACAGATGGCACATTCAAAGAGCACCAAGCAAGGATCTCCCATCCCTTTTTTGGCTAAGTAGGTCCCTGACAAACAAAATTTCCATATTTTTATTATAACTCTTTGAGTTCTCCCAAGCCAGTTCACATTGCCAAAGTCAAAGGTCAAACTAAATATTTTTCCTTCAGTTTTTTTTAACCCTGCCTTGCCTTTCTTTATATTCGGTAGTGTAGTTGGTAAGCTGTGGATAGTTTACATTTTACAAGCTTATTTCCTTCCCCTCTTAAACGAACCAATCACCATCTTCTTCTCACATAGAACCAGACCTCTTTGCACCAAAACTAGCAGAAAGCCGATTTCTGTCCCCATGGGCTCCTGCATGAGCTCAGAAAATAACAGTGAAGTTCATGCGTCGAAGCAAGGATCTCTAAGAAAGGTGGCTTCTACAGGGAAAAATAGATGGCAAGCCTCACTTTCTCCAGAGGATCTCTCCATCTCACTTGCGGGCTCCAACCTCTACATCTTCACCTTTGCAGAGCTTCAAATGGCGACAGGAGGATTCTCCAATAGTAATTTTCTTGGAGAGGGTGGCTTCGGACCAGTGTACAAGGGGATCATTGATGAGAGAGTGAGGCCAGGAATGGAGTCTCAGGCTGTCGCCGTTAAGCTCCTGGATCTTGATGGCCTGCAGGGACACAAGGAGTGGCTGGTGAAATCTCTAGACACTTGAAAAGTACTTAGATCTAATATGAATTGATCATGACTGTGAAATTTCTATTTTGTGGCAGGCTGAAGTGATATTTTTAGGAAAGTTGAGGCATCCACATCTTGTGAAGTTGATCGGTTATTGCTATGAGGATCAGCATAGGTTGCTGGTGTATGAATATATGATAAAAGGAAGCTTGGAGAATCACTTGTTCAAAAGTACGTCAATGTTCTTCTAAAATTTGCTTCTAATGAAGAACTATGGTAAAATGTTTGTCGTTGTTACTTTCCAGATCTGATTTTATGAAGTCTCAAAGATGTTTAGCTCAAATGATATAGTTAGATATGTGGTAGATAGAAGGCCAGCTCTGAAGTTGTTAAATACCCCTAGTTTATTTCCTAAACCAAATCATGATGGTCTGGCTTTATACCAAAACCATTATTAAATATATAAATTGGCAGCTTATACATGGTGTAGGCTACCAGAAAGCATCCATAGTTTAGAAAACTCTGAAGCCAAAAGCTTTAATTTACTCAATTCTGAGAAAATGTCCTGTTGTTTTATTGGTCTAAAATTAATTTTATTTCTAAGCAGGATTCTTCATATCCTTACCATGGTCAACAAGACTGAAGATTGCAGTGGGGGCTGCGAAGGGATTGGCCTTCCTCCACGAGGCGGAGAAGCCGGTGATATACAGAGATTTTAAAGCTTCTAACATCTTGTTGGATTCGGTAATACTCCATTTATTTGCTAGTCCTCTAGTTTCTTACCTGGCCATAGACAATTCTGTTCAGTTCAAGTGATTTGGGTTATTCAAAGAATGATTAAAATAGACAAATTCATTTCGAAAGTAAGAGTTTCCTCATGGCCAACTTCTAATGATAAAAGATTTCATAATAGGAGAAAAAACATTTCAAGCTTTAAGCACGTAAGCAAAATGTAGAATGATGCTAATACATAATAAAAATCAATTTTTTCAGACTCAAATCTCAATGTATATTTGAATTTAAAATTTTCAGAATTAAAATCAAGCATCCAAACTCCTATTAGCAAACTCATAGTCAAATTGAAAGTTTTGACTAGACGAACCTAGCGACATTAAGAGCGATCCAATCTATTTCAAATGAGCCCAGATTAAGCACTTAAGATATAATTAGAAACTTTGGGACATTGAGTATAGGACACCAAAGCTTACATACTTATAATCAAATCGAAAGTCTCTACCAGAAGAATCCAACAAGCCCAAGATTGTTTAACTCCAACATTATTAAGACATTTAAATAATAAAATAATAGTTTATGATCAAGGAAATCGACATGGGTCATTCAATGGAATGCTCCGAATTTTGTCAATTTTGCGGAGTATGCCGCACTCAAAAAATATAAATAGACATCAAATTTCTACATGGGACAAAAAGCGGGGGGATGGGGGGGGGGATGGAGATGAAGCATGAGCTTGAAACACAACTTGAAATTAGAGATAGCTTAGTTGTTAAACCATCGCTATCAGATCTTCACCAATGGATGACTATCATTGGGTCATTGCCATCTGACCATAACCGTCAAACCACCGTCATCTTAACACCGCCTTCGGACCTCCATTCCCCAACCACTAACTATGGTCCTTCGACCACATCGCCCAACTACATTCTTCTAACCACCATCCCATATCTTTGATCCTCCAGCCATATAACGATCTTTTAATTACTGTTGATCAACTATAGTCCTTTGACCACCATCGCTTAACTACGGCCATTCAACCACTATTGTCTAACTATAGTCCTTTGATCACTATCACCTGATTACTGTCCTTTGACCACCATTGCTCAATTATTGCCCTCTGATCGCCATCGTATGACTGTCGTCTTTTAACAAAATTCATCCAACTCTTCCTTCGATCACTATCCCTCGACTACGATCTCTTGATCAACTTCAAGACATACGATCTCTTAACCACTACCACCTGACTATAGTCTCTTGAACATTGTCGCCCGACTACTTCAATGATTATTGACTTTGTTGCTCGCCATTGCCAACAATGTCAATGCATACCATCGACACTAACTCTAACTCTCGAAGTTGATAACAAGAAATATGTTGTGCTTCTTGATCTCTAGTCTCCCATTCTCAATGGAGAACAATTGAATAAATAGTAAATGATATCTTGAAAGGAGCTCTCATGTCATAAAACTCTTTCAACCTAATCCATTCGATATAGTTTATGTTTATTATATTATATCAACTCATTCACCAATTACGGAGAAAGGGAACACCATTTGTAATCGATGGCATATATTAGTGGAATCATTTCAACAGAGGTCGGGCCCTATAATTTTTAGTTTTACATTTTTACATAAAAATTTTAGTATCTCTTGCACTCCTCTTTTATTTGTGTATGTTAAATCTTTGTAGGAAGCCAAAGCATTAAACACATCCTTTTTTTTTACCATGAATTTTCTGGCATGCAATTGATGCAAGTATCCTATTTCTCAAAAATTAAAACTCCTATTTGGAATTACTTTTTATTTTTATTTTATTTTAAATTTGTCTCTAAAAAATGTTAGAAAATAATACAACTTAGTTTGCTAACTTCTTTTAAACAATTTAATTTTTTTTATAAATATTAAAAACAAATAAGAGGTATTTTTAGTATTTTAAAAACAATTATTTTCATAAACCCATCTCTCCAATATCTCCTATGCGTGTCGTCAACGTAGAACTTCTCATTAGCCATCTCTCTTGTATTCATTCAAGCTCAACGACATTAAATTAATGAAAGAGACGGCCTATTCTGCACTCCATTGAAATCAGTTGCTCCGACATTCCCCTTGACTTGGCTGCCCACCTCTAGACAAGGAAATCATTACGTTCAGCGACACCATTTTATTCGGGAGTGTATGAGCAAGAAATTTGATGGGTTATGCCATGAGTTTGAAGATAGGTGGGCAGCCAAGATAAAACAAGAGAAGTTGTTAACAAATAAAACGTAGTATATGCACCCTTGAACAAAAACAGCTGCGGTCGAGCCCCAAATATCTGAATGAATAAGCGCAAGAATAGCATTTTGACGATTTGTAGATTTCTCAAAAATAAGTTTATGACTCTTCGATTCTTTACAAGACAAGCAAGAAGAAATGGTTTTGTTTATATGAAGATGTGAATCACATCTTGATATAGTTTGAAGTACCCTCTCATGAGGATGACCAAGCATGTAATGCCAAAGAGTAGAGGTGTTGTGGGTGGCAGATAGAGCCTTCAGTTGTTGGTAGGATGGTGCAGTCCGAATGGGATATAGCCCATTATGGCATGGTCCTTGTAAAAGAACTTGCTACGTCCTCAGATCCTTAAACATAAAACCTGATGGATCAAAAATAATCAAAATGTCGTTATCTTTAGTTAATTAGAAATAGAAAGTAAATTATAGTGTAATGACGGTGTGTGAAATATTTGCGATAATTTTAGCTTACGAGATGGGGCCAGCAGTAAATCGGCCCATGAATTCGCTATGTTGGCAGATCTTCCATCTCCGATAACAATGCTATCAGATCCTTGATATGGCATTGAGATGGACAAGTTGTCGAGCGAATTAGTGAGATGCGACAATGCTCTCGAATCAAGATACCAGCTGGTGTGAGAGTTGTCGGGTGCAACTACCAGAGCACGGTTGGGCTGATTTGGAACAGAGGGAACGTGTTGTGCATCAAGACGGTGCCAACAATCAGAAGCAAAATGTCCCTTCTTGAGGCAGATCTGACATATTATGGATGAAGTGTCGAATTGTTTGTTTGTATTGCCGGGAGGAAGAGAAGATTTTCCTCTATTGCGCCTTCCACGTCCACGAGAAGAATATAAAGCCAAGTTGGGATCACTGTTAGATTGATTTGAGCAGCATCGAAAGCAAGATTTATTTCCTCACTTAGAAGAAGCGGGTAGAGATGGTCGAGGCTAATTGGGGTAAGCATAGTGCGAATTACAGTCTTGAAAGATTGGTACGATGGAGACAAGCCGTTGAGAATATACAAAATGATATCCTCATTGTCGACCACGGAGCTAGCCACAACAATTTTATCAACCAGAATCTTAATTTCGGAAAGATATTGGGTAATAGTCATGTTCTTAAGAGAGATGTTGTGAAGGGCATTCTCGAGTTGAAAGACCTTGGACTGATTTGTTGCTTGAAAACGATTTTCAAGCGTAGATCAAATGGCAGCAAGGGAGTCTAGATTAACTACATATGGAAGGATAGAGGATGAGATTGTAGAACATAAAGAAGCAGCCAGGTTTTGATCGGTGAGGGTCTAGTGATTGAACGAAGGGTTCAGTTGAAGAGATCCATTCGAGCTTTGGATCGATTGAGGCGGGGAAGATAAGGAAGGGTTAAGAAACTTATCAAATCCGTTGGCGCGAAAAATTTTTAGGATTTGCGATCGCCAAACAGAGTAGTTCTCGTGGTTGAGTTGAATCGGAATGATGTTCTCGATGTTCGAAACCACAAATTTCAGGGTGGAGGAGATAGCAGATTCTTCAGGATGTGGCGGCTCCATGCTCTCGCTCAGTTGCGATGAAGCTGAGTTCGCCATGATCAGAGATCTTCGCGACCTGCTCTGATACCATGAATAAATGAAAGAACTGAGAGAAACCAAAGAGAGGAGAGATAATGAGGATTAAAGAAAGTAAAGAAAGAAGTGTATTATTCATTTCATGGCCAAGTACAACAAAGGTCCTTCTATATATAGAGGGATAAGACATAAAACCAATGAGAAGATGCCACGACAGCTATACAAACTAATAACAGGTTATTTGTTTTATGTGCTAATACAAGACCTATGATTTGCGAGGATTGGCAGAAGAGGCAATAAAGGCCTTGAATACATGGATGAGAGGGGAATTATCAATCTTTCACAGCACTTGGGAAAGTTGGAAGGTTCTCCTAACTCCTGCTACAAGTAGCGTGACAAATGACGTTCTTGGATTTGATGATGGAAGTCATGCATTCAACATTCAGGCTTCGTGAAGTGTAACCTTCTCCATGTATCTCGTTATGCACTAATTTATGTAAAAACATTTTATTTGTTTGGCATTAGTGGGTTTTCCAAATAGTATTTCTTCAAGAAAGTAGCAAAACAAATTCCATTAGAATAGAGTGATCATTAACATTAAACAAACATAACATCTAGCATTGGAATATAAACCGTAAGAATTATTCTTCATTAGATAACCAGCCTGCTTCATAATTTGATTCACTACCCTTTCAATGTATAGATACTTGCCGAGTTTTACATAAGGTTATGGAACAAATACAACTCAATTGCTCTGACATGAGAAACAGGAAAATCAAACATAAAGATGGCTTGAAAGAAGAAAGAAAAAATATGAACAAGAAAATGAGAATACAAAACATATTTTCATTTTGTATTAAAATATATACAAAATAAATTAAAAACAAAAATAAGAAATTAAAAATAAAAATGATCCCAAATGGCCCCCAAGGAAATTGCCACCAAAAAGGAAAAAAAAACTTTTGTGTATAAACCTAGAACCTCTAAGAAATTCAGTCCTGTTTTCTAACAATTTGACATCTATCGCACCAATTTGCTATCTTAAAGCCTCGTGGCATAATCAACACCTATGACCTTGAAATGCATAAGAATCACACTAAAATCTTAGGTCTCAGAAACTCAAACATGTTCACCTTCATGGTTGCCATATGACCTAATCTAAATGATAAAATAATCTCTAATTCTCAGGACTACACTGCAAAGCTTTCAGACTTCGGGCTTGCAAAGGACGGCCCTGAAGGAGATAACAGCCATGTCACAACAAGAGTCATGGGAACACAGGGATATACAGCACCAGAGTACATAATGACTGGTAAAAACCAAATAATACCTAGATCTGCACTTAATTTGATCCTTCACACGAGCTAATCTTCTAATTGATATTCTCTAAATCTATTGTCCAGGTCATCTCACAGCAAAAAGTGATGTATACAGCTTTGGCGTTGTATTGCTAGAGCTACTGACTGGAAGAAGATCAGTGGATAAGACAAGGCCAAGCAGAGAGCAGAACCTTGTGGAATGGGCGCGGCCTTACCTAAATGATGCCAGGAAACTATCCCGGATAATGGACCCTAGTCTTGATGGCATGTACTCCACCAAGGCTGCACAGAGGGCAGCGATAATGGCTTACCAGTGCTTAAGTCAGAGACCCAAGTCAAGGCCTCCAATGTCTTCCATTGTTGAGACGCTAGAGCCTCTCCTGGACTTCAATGATGAAATGATAGGCTCCTTTGTGTTCACGGTAGTTCCTGACAATTGCAGAAATGAGGAAAAAGAGAAGAAAGATTCCATTGAGAATGGAAACCACTGCGAGGGAGAAAGGCGCAAGATGTGGTCTGCTAAATCTGCAATCCACTCCAATCTTTTGCTGTACAGAAACTCATCGAGACACCACCATAGGAATGAGGCAAGAGCATTGGATCAGGACATGCTATGCAAATAGATCCTTAAAACCGTTTTAGTTTTTTTTTTTTTTTTTTTTTTTAACATTGGTAAAAGAGAAGTGTGAAAATGTGCAATATAAATTTCCAACTAGATTAGTCATACAATAAGAGCATTTTATTTCATTCAAAGTGTATGGAAGTGATTAAATTTCATTTCTAGAAGTGAGTTCACGTGTATTTTATTGAAATTGGATGGAAATGAATTTTGATTCTTGAAACTTACCGTTAAAAAGGTGAGAAATGAGTTTCAATTTTTAAGGGTTGGGAGTTGCATTCTACTTTATTTTTTTGCTTTTAATACTACTACTACTAATAATAATAATAAATTGGGCGATTGATTAAAATATTGCTTTTACTTATAATAAGAATATAGTATTGAAAAATTAGCATGAATGTGGGTAAAAATGAAACTCACCGCAATCAAATAAACATGAATTGAATTCATAGGAAGTGAATAAATAGATATTGCAATGACTCCATCGCCACTTATTTCTAGAACTAATACATAAAAATTTACAGTGACAAACTAATCCTAAGTCCAGCTCAAGAAATGAGCAGTCCATTTCATGATTTAAGAGTTTAACACAAAAAAGAAATCATCATACAATGTTGTATATACCCATGATGAATACATAAATACCTTATTCAGTTATTTGAATATTGCTATTAAAGCCAAATTCAGAAAGCTAAAGAGAAGATCACTAAGAAACACTACATTCTGATGGAATTTGGGATGTTTACTACATTTATCCATATAAGCAACAAAGACCATACCATTGATGAATCGGAGAGTAGAACCTGCACTCCTGTATATAAAAAAAAGATGGTACAAATGTAACTTCAGGCAAAACATATACTGAACCATTTGGGGGCAGAAAAGAGAAGATAACAATCAACGAAGAAACTTAAAAAGGACAAGGGTGCTCATGTGATAGGGCAAAATGGATAGTGATTGGAAAACATTCAAAATCCTTGCTTGGAAAACAAATATTGGATGGAAAACATTCGAAATCAATACTTGGAAAACAAAGAAGATTAATTGAACATGTAGAAAGGAAAAGAATGGCAACAGTTTGTATCATTTCTCATTCATTCAAGGATTATTTATACATATAGCTAACTAGGCGACATTAAGAATATATACAATTCTAGAAAGAGAAGTAATTACAAACATTTCTAGCAAAATCAGTAAAAGCCAACACAGATGTAGTCAAAATTAACTTAGAATAGCAAATGACATTATTCTTGAACTAGTATAGCTTCAATTTAATTGGCATGAAAAAGAGGATTTAGAATTTACTTACTATTACTCAAAGCAAAGAGTAAACAGTTCAGGCGATTCTGCCGAGCGAACAAATACAGAAAATGAAGCCGTCGCCCGGATCCTTTAGAACTTGTCCTCTACCACCACCTAAGCGTCCTATAGTAAGAACCCTTATGGAGAACAAACATAAAAAATAATAAGCAAATCATTATATCGTAATGTGCTTCTTCAAGTCAGAGAATAGTGACAAACAAGTACAAAACTACCATCCAAAGGGTCGTAGAAGGCGGGCATGATAAAAATAATCGGCGACGGTAGAGCGACCCCATGAGCGTCAATTAGGTTTAGGTCGATGAAGCAACTAGCTTAACGCCTGCAAGCTCTAGGCGTTGCAGACGATAAACAATTTCATCGGATTTTCTAGTATTCGGTTAAAGAAAAGACTGGGATAAGAAAACGTTGAATTGACTGGATTAAGAGGGCCGGTGGCGCTAGGTCGTCTATCAGGAGCATTCGTACTCGACGATGATGTCGTTTGCACAGGCGGACAGCTTCCTCACTGTTTTTTAAAGCATCTTTTTAGTAATTTTTTTTAAGAATTTTTTTAAAAAAAAAAACTGCTTTATAAAGTAATATAAAAACTGTTCCAAATAAAATATAAATCAGAATATTATCCTGACATAATAATAATTTTTTTTCTAATTAATTTTGATCTCAGCACCTTGTTGACTCTCCATGCATGGATGCTATCAAGAACTGCAATAACTCCTACAACAAAAGCTAGATCATATCCAGGTTGCACCTCCACTTCGTAGAAATCTTTGCTTGCCATCTTTCCTTTTCCTCCCACCTGCCTCATAAACAAAATTCAGAGCTCAATTATTTTTCTTTTTTTTTTGGCATGTTATAATAAGTTAAATCTCTAGTTATGATCTTCGTATAATAAAGAACAAATCTAATTAAATAATTATAGGCTCATTTAGGATAACTACAATCTTTTCTAAAAGTGATTAAAAACTATTGTGGAGAAAATAACTTTTTTGAAAGTTATTATAAAAAACAGCTTCCCAACATAATTTTTTTTAACTATAATTGCGATCTGAAAAGCAAAACAGGAAGATACTATCCCTATCGAAGAGTATATGATATATGATAATTAAGAAATTTTATTGTAAATGCTTAGAACATGAGTTAATCACCTGTGCTACAACATCTCCTTTTCGGTCATTAATGGTGCAATCCTTCTCACTGAACGATCCCTTTACCTCATAATCCCAATCCTTACTGAATCCTTTGTTCATGATTGAAATCTTAATCGCATTGTTCATGACAAGGCATCCTTTTTTGGGCTCTCTCAAGCTAAATACCAACCTTTTTATTCCTTCATAGTCCATCAGGTATCCTTTCCACCTGCTGTGAAAGAATAAGGCTTGCACCACACCATTCTATATCAGAACATAAATGAGTTTTCTCTTAACAAAGTAATTATTATGGTGAATTTAATTTAGTTACCTTGTTACAAATGAAGAGGACCGGTGCTGCATTGTTGTCTCTAAGAATTAACTCCTTACTAGCACCCAGAATCCCGCAACCATCTACGGCGCGCGAAGATTATTTCCTGCTTAGAATTTATGACAACGACCGCCACCGCTTGTTATGACTGGCCTTTTTCTGATTATCAGATCTTCCTTTGAAGAAGAGCAATATATCTTACTCACAATTGGCAAGAACTTGGCTGATCTAACCATGGTGGAGGAATCTCCTCTATTCATGCTGTCAGCCTTTTGTAAGGAGTTGAACGTCAATGTTATAAAAGAGTTTCAAAAGTGAGTTAATTTTTGTTGTGTTCTCTTTGGAATAAGAATCTCAGTAGTAATTTTATTTATTTGTCTATGGCTTGTTGTCGTATGATTTATTTTAGTTTTACAAATATTTGTCATGTATTTAATTAAAAAAAAAAGTAAAAATCCAACACAGAAGGTACGCATAAATTTTCTATATGGAAACCATATATAAAAAACAAAAAACTCATACGGTTAAACATAGCTGAATTAACTTCCACTAGTTTTAATCTTGGATTATAAAAGTATTTCGTTACTCAAAATTGGAGAAGGTGCTCGTTCAATATAAACTAATGTCCCATGCAATATTGGTGAATCAATCAAATATGGAGGTGTTGATGTAGATGGAATTACATGTTAGTTAGGAGAGAGGGGATCAGAAATTGGAGATGGTTGGAGCAATCTCTCTCTTGCAAGAAGGGGGAGCGAGGTGACTTAGAGTCAATGAGAATCTAAAGTTAGTTTGGGCAATCCATTTAATTGAAGGAAGGGAAACTAGGAGAGCAGTTTCTCTCCTAGGAGGAAAAATTGGATGACTAGAACTTAGCAAGCAACTAAAGATGATTGCGGTAGTTCCTCTACCAAAGGAGAGTGATTTAAGGAATCTAAAGTTGTTAGGTGTCGGGAGGCAATTAAAAGAAATCCCACTCATAAAAGGAGGGGGAACAAGGTAACTAGAGTTAATTAATGAGCAACCCTAAGAAGTTGTTGAAGTCTCTTTCCTATAACAAGGTGAAATTGGGCAAAGACATGTTAATAATTAATCTTGTTTTGGATGGTGGGGGAAATTGGAAGACTATGGAGTCGGGAACAAAAATGACCAATATGTATAATTGTTCTAATTTGATGACCAATACTGCAAGAATTACCAGTTTGTTTCTGACGGTTTTATTTGCCAAAAAATTCTGACGATTTTGACCTCTGGAAACCTGTCAGTAATTTTAGTGGTTGATTCCACCAATAACTTGGTAGAAAATTTTTTGTGATGAATTTCTTTCGATCAATATTTCCTTCAAATTTTTCATTGGCATTTCGTTGGAATATATTTCCACTGGAATATTATGAATTTATAATTATTTTCTATAATTTACAACAAAAATTTAGCATTTACTGCCTGAAAAGTTAGTTGAAAATGTTTATCTTTTTGTAGTGATTGCTCATGAGGAGAAGGTGTCAAGGTATCAATTAGTCAACCTCTTTTAGATTATATATATATTTAGTCACATACAGTCATACTCATCTAGGTGAGATTGATGATTCGACAAGTTAATTACAAGCCAATAATTAATTTACTACTCACTAAAAGACCTTAAGCTAATTAAGTTTTATTCTCAAGCTAAAGCTTACTAACATCGTTTTTATATTAGCCAAAAGAATTTGTTAGCTCACTATTCATCTTATAAAGAGAACTCAACAAGGGGACTCATCCTTAGTTTGATTACTCACTTTGAGTTCTTTCCTACTAGGCAACACTTAAACATACTCACCGGCTACATGAAAAATTATATTGAGTCTCTTTTAATAATATTTTGGAACTTTATTATGTAGCTCTTAATATCCACTGATCACGAACTATATCTTTAAATGAAGGGTTCAATATTGAGCAGGAGCATTGCATCACTTGACCCTAATTAGCCAAAATTTTGTCAAATTAAAACCTCATTATATCTTTCTTTATCTTTTTTTATCACTTTGGATCTTTCTTACTATGCTCTAAAGTGCTAACATGGTCCCTTAAAAACCCTAATCAATTGTAAGTGATATGTGCACTTACTCTATCAATTACTTTCTTGGGCTCAATCATAATCTACCGAAAACCCGATTTTGACCCGGCAACCCGAGATTGACCCGATTTTGACCCGTTTTTGACCCGAAAAGAAGAGATTGACCCGTTTTTGAATAAAAAATTAGCCTTTTTTGTTGGAAACGGGTCATTCGGGTCGTGTCGGGTTGACCCGGACCGGAAGCGTGTCGGGTTCGGGTCAGAAAAACTGACCCGTTTTTTAAAAACGGGTCGGGTTCGGGTTGACCCGAATAGTGCCGGGTCAGTTTCGGGTTCGACT